GGCGCAGGGAGGGCGGCGCTGGGCTCAGCCGCCGCTCCGCGCGGCGCGAAGGCCGGGGAGACCGAAGGACGGACCCCTGCGCTACGAGCCGCACTACGAGCCACGCTCCTCGGGGACTGAGGTCGTGCAGCCCCGTCACGGAACGCCTTGGCGAGCGAGCCGGAGTTCCGACGGAGACATTTCTGTCTTGGGGCGCAGTGCCCCATCGCACCTCCGCGAGGCCGCGTTGCCCGGGTTACCGACCCCTTGCAGAGTCGAGGCCCCGCCTCCGGTCGTCAAGGCCACGCCTCCACGGCCTGAGGCCGCCCTCGACACTGCCTGAGAGGTCGTGGAGGAATCAGAGGGTGGCTTTCTTCGGCCTAGCCCCGTCGGCAGGTCGAGGACTTCGGGGTGATTTGCGGGACCTGGGGGCGCGGCCTGAGGGGTGTGGAAGTGGCGGATCCAGCGTTTCCAGGCACTCCGGCTCTGCTCCGGGCGACCCGCTTAGGGGCCTTCGGGACAGGGCCCGCTCGCTGTCAAGATGGCAGCGCCCGGAGTGCACGGGTACCTCTGAGGTGGGCGTTTAAGATCCTTGTCTGTGAGAGCGAGGGGCTTCCCGCGCTTCTGATTTTGAAACACCCCGGGTCTGGGTTTCCCGGGCGAGCGGAGGGTGAGTGCCGGCCTCGTTGCGGCGTGGGGGCGCGACGTGGACGATTGGTGTGGAAGCGGCTTACATTGGCCGTGGATTTTTTCCCCCCCTTTCCGGGTATGTCTGCTTTTGGGTCAAGAATCCCTACGGTTTTGTCGTCTAATAAATGCGTGAAAAAGGCAGGGCAACCTGGGCTGTAGACCTTGAGATTTATTGGGGACCTTTGGGGGTGTAGATACTCTGCAAGAAGCTGGGCAAGTTTCTCAGAAGACTTCAACTTTTAAAAATCACTTTGTTAAAGTGTTGGGTAAAGTTGCTTGTTGGTCCTTGAGCCTGGGACTGGGCGCAGGGAATCCTTAGCCAGTTCTAGCTACTGTGTTTGCAAAGCACGTCTCATTTTTGGAATCTTGTTTTATATTCAACGTTAGGAAGAGTCATACCTTTCTACCCCCAAACAGGGAGGAGTACCTTTGTACTTAAAACAAACAAACAAACAAACAAACAAACAAACAAATTTTCATTAACATCCGTGTCTGTCCCAATCACTGGGGTCACGGTTGTGTTCTCATCTGTTTTAGCATATGTTTTTAAAACGACACTTTTCTCTATATTGAAGCAAGTTGATATTTTCAGGAACTTTAAAGGCGGGAAACACTTCTCTGATCTCGCTATACCTATACCTTAGTATGCTTGCAACCTGGTGTCCTTGCATTCAAATATACTTATTGATCATGATACGGTGACACTTATAAAAAGGCATTAAAGATAAAATTTTACTAAAACCCGTTTAAGTCTCCTGTCCAGGAGGCTTTAAAATCTCATACATGTGTGAGTCTCAAAATAGATTTTCTTTTTTTAACAGAGTCGCAAAACTTCTATCATTTCCTGGTTGGTCTGGTCATCGGGCACATCCAACCCCAGGTTTATTGAAAGGGTTTTTAATATTTTGAGCTTTTCGTTTGGAATTTCTTAAAAGATGCAAAGACCAAAGGAAATGCACATTACTAGAGAGTAATATCTAGAGCTGTTTTCTCTTATAATACACTGTTGAGCGCTGATGATGTAAAATAAAAAAATGTGGCACCTGGGCACCGGAGAAAGCTACACTGTTATGCAATTTACTGACAGAGAAAAACAGGAAAATATGAACATTATTTTGGTTTGTTTAAAAACACGGGGGGTTGCATTGTTTTATTATAATTTGCTTTCATCTTGAAAGTGAAGTTGGAATAATTGTTGTATACAATTGTTTATGCCTAATCAAGAAATTTAATCATTAATGTATATGATCATTAATGTATATACAGTATGATGTATATAATGTAGCTAAATGACTCAACTTTGTTGTTATCAAATAAAACTTTTCCAAATATATATGTAAAGTTTAAATAGTTTGTTTGGGCAGCCTAGTTAGTTAGTTTAAATAGTTTGTTTGGGTAGCCTAGTTAGTTTAAATAGTTTGTTTGGATAGCCTAGTTAGTTGTATCTCTTAGTACAAGCAGTGGTTGAGCTTAGCAAAGTGTTAGCTTCCTAGCTAATTCTAAGCTAAGTCTTCATAAAAAATGCCTTATTGTTTTATTTGAAATGCTTTATCAGTGTGTTGGTTATCCTTCCCTTGAAAGACTAATAAAAAAAGTCACATTAGAAAGCTAAATCTCAGCCAGGCTCAGTAGCTTAGCCTGTAATCCCAGCACTTTGGGAAGCTGAGGTGAGTAGATTGCCTGAGCCGGCCTCGAGACCAGCCTGGGAAATTTGGTGAGAGCTTGTCTCTACAACAAATTAAAAAAATAGCTGGGCATGGTAATGCGCTCTTGTAGTTCCAGCTACTTGGAAGGCTGAGGTGGAAGGATCGCGGAACCCCGCAGGTCTATGCTGGGGTGGCTGTGAGTGTGCCACTGTACTCCAGCCTGGGTGACTGAGTGAGACTCCAACTCAAAAAAAAAAAAGGAAAGCTAAATCTCCATTATTGCACATCTTCACTGCAGATTTTAAACAATAACTCAATTTGAGATTGTAAATAAAATTGGGCCAGAGGCTCAGAATGGACCTTACTCATATGTCTTAATATGGGTCAGTTTTTTTTAGGTGATACTTATAAGCTAGGGGATACCACTTAGACCTCAAAATGTAACAATTTCTTTAGTATTTATCCAAAGTTATCAACTATATAGTTTTTTTACCTATGTAAAATCATGTATGACCATATATTAAAATTAGAGTTGTCAATGAATACTTCATGCTTTGTCAAGAGAAATTTCTTTAACTGCAGTAAGTTTAGCAGCAATTTACTGTCAGTAGGCTTAAATATTACAACGGTGTGTAAAGTAAATCTTGTATAGAAGAAGCAACTTGTGATATTATTTAGAAATCATTCTCCATACATGGATCTAAACATACATATTTTTCATTTGGTTATATTGGTCAGTCTAATAAATACCAAACTCATTTATACAGATGAACACACTGAAGCCCTTATTCTCATTCATTCATTGCTTCAACTTTATTGAACCATCTAAGTACTATACATTATGTAAGATGATATCGTTACAGTGATGAAAGTCCCTTACATCCAAGAAACCTAAAGGTGACTAGATAAACAAATAATAATTTATTTTTGACAGGTAATTCGATGGGGTAACATTACCAAATGCTAGAGGAGTACAGAGGAGGGATATTTAATCAGAACTTTGACCTATTTCTCTCATAGAAGGTATTTCTGAAATAAGTAGTAAGAGACAGATGAAAAATGTAAGTTAGAGATTGTGGTATATATTCCAAGCATGGAGGCATGAAGGAGCACGATCTATTTAGGGCACTCTTAAGTGTTTTGGTGTGGTAGGAGGTGGGAAAGGAGGGACCACAGAAGTGGTTACCCAGTACTAGCTTTATGTTGGTGATGCTTTCTCTCTGTTCAGAGTAATTTCTTCCCCTACACATTGATTTAGTCGTATACATCAAGGAAAACTTAACAGCTGAGCTGGAGACTAGTTATCCAGGTGTTGATAGGCTTTGTTTCAAACCATGATTTTGAATCCTATATTCCAGGAGCACTGAGATTTTATTTATTTATCAGTGCATTCAACAGATAGCTAACCAGGTTAGTAGTTCAAGTCACTGTTCTTGTGATGACTTGAGGGCTATAAATCAAATGCAGATCCTGTTTTCCAGGGGTTCATCATTTAAATGCATTTATATAATATTGAAACATGAGGTAGGAAATACTGAGTGCTTCTGGGAAAGGACTGGTGAAGTGTTTGTGGAGTCTCTGTGCAAGGAGAGGTCACTTCCACCCCTGATGCCTGGGCTATACCTCAGGCCAGCAGTCAGCAGGCCTGAGGCCCAGGCTTCAAGGAATTTTTTTTTTTTTTTTAATTCCCTGGGTATTGGATACAGTCAGGGTTGAGGAACATTGATATATAGGAATTAGGGACTTTCTGAAGGAGTTAGTTTTTATGTTGTGCTTCAGAGGACTTAAGTTTGAGCAGGGCCTTGAAGGATTTGGATGTGGGTGTGGTGGTAAGATGGCTACTGTAGGAGGACGATTTACCATTTAGCTTGGAAAGGGTAAAGGAGAGACCCTGAGTGAGGTCTGGGAAGAAATAATTCTGGCCTAGAGAACACTTGGGGAGGACCCTGGCCAGAGCTGTAGAGTGCATGAGGGTGAGAACGGGGAGGTCCAGTGCAAAGATCATCAGCTCCCCTGTATGTTAGGCACCAGATGAACTGAGTCCTTATGTGATCTCAGTTAATCTTAAGACTCAATTCATCCTGACACCATCTGATGGGAGAGCTGTTATCACAATTTAAGGAAAGGGAAGCTGAGAGGCTAGGTTATTTAGCCAGGATCATACAGCTAGGAAGAAACTAGGGTGGACACTGGCCCTGAATGTGATCTGTCTAGTTGTGATGCTACACTGCTTCACAGATGAGCTTCAGTGCCAGTTTTAGGAATTTGAAGTTTATTAATTTTTCTTGGATAACAGATAAATTTTAGTTATATTTGAGTTTTAATTTAGTTGGATTCTCACTTATTTGTAAAGCTAACTGGTTTGTATAGGAGATATTGTAAATATCCAGTATGTTGATTTTTATACTAGTTTTTTAGTCATTTAAGATAAATTTACATTTTTTTCTATTAACATCCCATTGAAAAGACAGTGCCTTTTTTAGGTTATCTATTTATGTGTGTATGAGAGATTTCCTCTTGGGGAATTCTCCGCAACTCACTTTTTTGTAGAAGTTCTTTTGCATATACTTATGAAAATCTGTTCTCTGTTTTGAGAAATTTAAAAAGCTATGATATGTTACAACTAGACATACT